TTGATGCGTTTGAGCCAAGCATTGAAGGAAAAACGGCCGCTATATGAGCAGAGACACGACAAAGTGATTTTGCAACATGACAATGCTCGGCCACATGTTGCACAACCGGTGAAAACGTACTTGGAAACGCTTAAATGGGAAGTCCTACCCCACCCGCCATATTCACCAGACATCGCCCCTTCCGATTATCACTTGTTCCGATCGATGTCACATGGCCTGGCTGAGCAGCACTTTCGTTCTTATGAAGATGCCAAAAAATGGGTTGATTCTTTGATAGCCTCAAAAAACATGTCGTTTTTCCGACATGGAATTCAAATGCTGCCAGAACGATGGGAGAAAGTAGTGGCTAGTGATGGACAATACTTTCAGTGACGTGTTTATTACGACTTTTTTTAAATAAAGTGTTAATTTTCACAAAAAAACAGCGAGAATTTATTCAAAGTCCTTATAGTAAATGAAGTTTGAATTTCTGGCAACACTATTGCACAATCGGAACACTTGTGTTACTTATTGGACATTTCTGACAAATGGAAAGAAAATAGCATGCACACTATCATTGTCCATGCTCCAAGAGCAGCAAAGTGTTATTTGTTTTCTATGGGCAGAGGGCAAGAAATATGAATAAATTCATGCGGAAATGCAGAAAGTGTACAGTGACAATTGCTATTGAACTATTCAAATGTCCATCGATGGTATGAAATGTTTAAAAATGGTCATCAGTGTGTGATTGATGAGCACAGCTAAGGTTGTCCAGTAAGTGCAGCTTCACCTCAAACAGTCGCTGCTGTTGATCAAATGATTGAAAGCAACTGCCGCATTTGCTTCAAGATGTCGGAAAAATTGCCTGGAGAGAGGTTCCATTCCGATGAGGAGGTTAAATCGGCTGTTCACAGATGGCTGTAGGGCTAGGAACCAGATTCTACAACACAGGCATCTTCAAGCAGGTACACTGCATGCACAAGTGCTTGAACCTGAATGGTTCCTATGTTGAGAAGTAGCCTAATACACATACAGTCGACCCCCTATAACACTGTTGATAATTCCGTTTTATATGAATTCCATGTTATACGAGTCACTTAGATTTTACAAATATGTGAGCCGTTCACAGCTTGGCACACACATTTGTAAAATCTAAGTGACTCATACAACATGGAATTCATATAAAACAGAATTATCAACAGTGTTATAGGGGGTCGACTGTATTTCATTTTGTATTTTCTGTATTTTCCATATGCATTAAAACTTTTGCTTAAAAAAATAAAAGGTGTTACTTATTGAAACCCCTCATAGATACCATAATCATTTGATACAAATCAAGTGATTATGATGGAGAATGTCAATTCAATTCATGAAGTGCAAATAAATCAGTTTTTTGAAAAAATAATAAAGAATAAAAATAAATGCTAGTCAAAAAATAGAGGAAAATTGATATAAAATTAGTAAAAACATTCCTGAAACATATTTTCATACTTATGGAATTTTTTCATAATTGTGAGGTAAATTAAACTTTTTCCATATTATTTTTAATATAATTTAAATTTATAAGTCTTACAATAGTCCAATTAAAAAACTTTAGTCAGATTACTTTCTTTATTATTTTTCTAAGCAAATATCTCTATAAATATTAAAAAAATGTTGAATACTTCATATCAAAAAAATATATATATATTATTCTCTCAAAAAATTCTGTAAAGTAAAAAAAATAGAGAGAATTTTCATTATGATTTAAATTCTTTTCTCTTGATTTTTATGTAAAAACTGAATAATTGATTTGACTGTTGTAAAATAGTGATCTTCATTAACCAAAAAAATGTTTCTTGATTTTGACATTAACATTGACAAAGAGTCATTGTTTAAAAAATGAACATTTAATCTTTGAAAACTTCATTTTAAAATATTTCATATTCATTAAAAATACATAGAAGATAGTTAAAATGTTTTAAAATATGTAGTTATTACACTGTTAAACACTAAATTATGTTTAATGTAACTAAATTTAACTAAATAATCACCTTATACTTGCTGATTTTTCTTCTCTTCTTTTTATTAAATATTTCTTTGGGTATTTGTATATATATCTTGTTCTTTGTATTTTATTTTTGTAGAAAGATTTTTCAGATCTTTCTAATTAAAAACAATAAAGAAATTTATTTTATTATTACTCTTAAATTAAACACTAATTTAATAAAATTATATTTTAATTTTCTTGAAAATATAAATAAAAGTTATAAAAATTTATATGTAAAAATAATTACATCAGATCTATTTATAAACAATATCAGAAAAATTTCAATTTTTAAAAAGTAATAAATTTTAAAATATCAAATCAATTGTAATATGATTTGTTTTAACTTAATTATGTTTTCTATATTAATTCAATTGTAAGAAGTGTAAAGTCAATGGACCAACTTCTGGACCTTTGAGAAAGATAGACAAGGTCATAGAAACCATAGAAAGAGCTTTGTAAGAAGACAACCTTCTTATAAATGAAAGGTAGTTGTGCATAATCTGAACTGGAGTCAGGTTACCTACATCCCTTTATGATTCTCAAACACTCTGATAGTGAAGGGTATTCCAACAAGATAATGCAATGTGTCACCAATCTTTGGTTGCAAGGAGGTGGCTTGAGGAATACTCTACTGACTTTACCCTATGATTCCATATGAACCTCTTAGATTATCTGAGGGACAGGATGAAAACAAAACTACAATAATTCAGCACCATCCATTGCATCACAGTTATGGTCTGTACTGTAGGTGGGTGGTCTTCTCTGCTGAATAGTACCATTAACTTGTTGACTTCATGTTTTGACTTGTAGCTGCATTGTTGAGGGCTCAAAGAGGATCAATCAGTTATTAGGTACATATCCCATGACTTTGGCTTCTTGGTGTATTTTTAAGAGCTTATATACATAAAAACCATTTGAATATGTAATAGACACCATAATCATTTAATTTAATTCTTTGATGTTGTGTGACTATAATGGTGAAATACTAAATAATAGTTCTCAATCTATGAAATGCACATAAGTCAATTATTTTGACATTGTGGTAATGTGTCATCTCTCAAACACTATGATGATAATCATTATACCTGAATGTCAAAAAGAGCAAGAATGCTGCAGTTCATAAAGAATAACAATTCAGTTTTATTTCAGTTTGCCAGATATTACATATGGAACATATCATGTTCCATATGTAATATTTTTACTTGAAAGTAAAAGTAAGATGATATGGAAAAATTTATGTGGGAATATTTGTTTGTTAACATTTTGTAGTATGGATAGTCACTGCTCTATTTCAAAGTAAATTAAGTAGATAAAGACCATTTCCATTTCTTACACAATTATCAATTGCTTATTTCTGTTTTGTGCAAATCACTTCAACATAAATGTCTCTTCAACAAAAAAGTTTATGAAAATATAGTAATTCGAAATAAAACTATCTTACAAGTTTCTGCATTATCTTTTTGATAAAGATCAAAGACAAATTCATCTAATATATAACACTGTAAGCTAGTGATGTCATTCTCTAAATGACAATTGCAGTTTTTCCTCATATAGTTTTAAAACTTGAATTATTTCCTCAAATTTTTCCATCATTTTATAAAATGTCATTAGCAGTTATAAAATGTAATCTTTTTAAAGTTCAAAACTTTACTGTTGTTTTAGTAAAATAATTTCATCTTTATGATTTCTATAAACAATTCATAAAAATTTGCATATCACTATAAATCATATCACAGGATCATTAGTATTGATTATTTTAAAATATTTGTTTATATTACATTATGCAGCTCAAGTACTTTTAAATTTTGTAAACTTATTTCCTTTTAAATTTATTTTTAATTCATATTAAAACACTAATGCTTCAATAATTAATATTATGAAATCCAAGTATCATTTTAAAATGTGTACTTAAATTTCATTCTCATTGAACAAAATGTAATGAGAAAATCTGTAATTTCATTTTAAATCAAAATAATTAATTTATATATCATTTACTACAATAAATCTTCTCATGAGTAAACTTAATATAAGGCATATTCAATACAAAACTGGAAAAATGTCATTGTAAGTCAAGGATGAGCAATATCATAGTAATTTTGACACATTTATTGTTGCCTCTGACTTGAAAGTGTTGTGTGTCAAAATTATTTTGATATCACTTATCCTTCCAACTCTTAATGGCACTTTTCTGATTTTCTATTGAACATGCCTCATATTATAGCATGCTAAATAATATGAATAAACAATCACTAACTGGATTATATTATTTTAATTTCTTACTTTTTTTATCTGATGAACTTGAAGATTTTGGTGTTTTAGTTTTGGAAATTTCTGTTTTCATCGCATTAATTTTCTCAATGATACTTGAAACTTTTTGTCCTAAAAGTTTATGACAACAAAAATTTTTTAGAGATTTAAAGCAGATCTTAAAAACATTATATATATTACAAACCTGTAGCCATTAATTTTTTTTCATATAAATTTTCTATATTTTCCCATTCAGGTACCTCTTCCTGAATATTATTCTTTGTTGTTTCTAGTTCAGAATGGGATTTTTTAATGCTTGCATAATTTTTTGTAAATGATAAAGGATCTGTATAAAATATTCTGGCTGTAGTACTTTCTGTATCAAAAACAGAGCATTTCAATAGGGGAAATATTTTTTGAAATTCTTTATCTTGTTCTTTACTAAAACCTATAAAAATAATGATATATAAAAAATATTCTATAATAAATATTAAAAATTTGATTTTCTCTAATTAATGAAATGAAAATTTTAATTCAATTTCTAAATTCTTTGTTTAAAATTATTAAAATTTCATTTATTTATCTTAGTAATTTTATGCATTAGTTTTTTTTTTTATAAACAGTGTAAAGTTCAATTTAAGTTTTTCCTTTCTATTATTTTTTAATATTTTTGTAAATCTTCATCCAATGGCTATAACTATGATTGATTTTTTTTTTTTGAAGACAAAGTCCGAAACACAAAGTTAATAAATGGTGGTTCCTCTTTTTGGGAAGGACTTTGTTTTCAAAAAAATTAATCATAATTATAGCCATCGGATGAAGATTTACAAAAATAATTTTAAAGTATCATCACCAGTGGTCAGCTTTCCTCATCTACATTTTACTAACACCTATTTCGTTGTAGATAAAAGCTGAAACAACCACAAGAAGTTATGATAGAGAATAGAAGACGTCCATACATCACCAGTTCCTGTTTTTTAAAAATGTTTATATTTTTAATTGGATATATGCTTGTGTTTTTAAAGGACTGTTTGGCGACCAGTAGTCTAAAAGGGAAGGTCAGTCGCCAAAAGTGTAATGTCTGGAACACAAAGTTAATAAATGGTGGTTCCTCTTTTTGGGAAGGACTTTGTCTTCAAAAAAAATTAATATTTTTTAATATTTAAAAAACTATGCTTTATTTAAGTTGAAGAGAAAAACTTTTCAAAACAAAAAGTAAATCATAAAAAAAAGTAAAAATGTATTTTGGTTTTTAAACTTGTGGATGAGAAATATTTTCTTGTAAAATGCATATACAGTATTCAAGTGGTAGTAATTTAATTAACTTATTGATATTATAATTTTCTATATATCAATAAATAATATTGTTGTTAATAAATTAATATCAATCAATTATACTGTTCTGTATAGAAAATTTGGATTATGAAACTATTGATAATTTGTGTGAAATAATAAATATTGAAGACATATTAACAAAAATATGCCTTTTCATTCTTATTTATTTATTCATGTTTTTTGATTTAACAGTATTTCTATACTAATATTATAAAGAGGTTATGTATGTATGTATGTATGTATGTATGTAAGTTTGTTTGCATTAGATAATCTCCGAAACTACTCATCCGATTTCAAAAATTCTTTCACCAATATTTAGAAAGGAACCTCAGGGTGGACATAGGCTGTATATTATTCTGTTAAACATTCATATAAATTAAAATATATAATCTAGGTTAAGGCTTTTATGTCCAACAGATGGCGCTACGAGTACGACGCCCTAAGTTTGCTTTTCTGTGAGGCATTATGCTTTTCTGTGAAAATGAACTAAAGCAGATCATCTTCTATCTATCTATATAAATAAAAATGTAATGTTCGTTTGTTCCTACCGATTCCTTTGAAATTTTGACACAACGCTGCATTCGAATACGCACGTGTTTTTATATAATATACGTGTCGAAATTCCCCCCACTGAAGGGAGATGGTTAGGATTAAGGCTTACCGTAAAGAACTCTGCTTCTATTTATACTATTTTAGATGTGGTTTTTTGCGTTTTAATAGGGTACGTCAACAGAATGTATACTAAGAAGAAATTTTTCGAAAAATTCCCCCCCCACGGGGAAGTGTTATAAATTTATAATAGATACATTTTGAGCCACAACAACGCGTGGTGGGGTCTGCTAGTATAGTATATATACAGTGTGTTCTGCTTCAAAGTTTTCTCACCAACTTATATTCGCCATAAAAAATGAGTAGTTTAAGATGTATGAAAGCAACAAGTGGCATCTGGTGGGAAAACTCATCAAGTTTTACAGAGATTTTTTTTCATACTGCGAGATGGCACAGAAATCAAATCTTGAGCATTATTGTTCAGTCATGGCTTTGCCATAGGAGAAAATATATCTGATAGCATGGCTACCAAGATCTCCTGGATTTCTTTCTGTGGGGTGTGAAAGATATGGTTTATGCAACTTCAATCAGAGTCCTTCAGGATCTTTGAGAGTGCATCATTGCAGCCATTGCCACTGTGAGATGACATGCTACAACATACATAGCAGAAATTGTGTACTGCCTTGATGCTGTCACTGTGACTGCTGGAGCACACAGAGATGTGATGATTTTTTCAATAAAATTTGGAGAGTTTCTCTCTTATAAAACCTTTGGTAAACTTATATCTTTAATCATCAATTTTTTGTAGCCAAATCAAATTGGTACTTTTGAGCAGAACACCCTGTATTATAAGAAGTTAATACAATTTATATATCTTCAAAATAAAACTCTTTATTTTATATAAATAAAATTTTAAAATTATTATATA